CAAAACAGCACAAACCAGAAAGACCTTACTAATCTCCTTAATTTTGGAATATGGAACTGAAAGCAGAAAGGCCAAAATGACTAAAATTTGCAGGGCGGAATACTGGTAAGGAGAAAGCTGCAGAGAGAGAAACATGAAGACTTACAGAGAGTCCCCCTTGAAGATTCAGCTAGTACAGATCAGCACATGCATGACAGGAAATTACTCAAGGCCTGTTAAAAAAAAAAAAAAAAAAAAAAGATTAGAGGAAACAATCCATGGAGCTCACATAGGACTAGAAATAGTGCTGAGTCTCACCAGCCAGAGTGGACATTGGGTGGAATACTAGAAGGATCTTGCTTGATAGTGGGAAAAAATTATCAGGCATACAAAGAAGCAGGTATATATAACCCTAAATGAAGAGAAAAATCCATCAGTTGAAACAGATCCCAAAATGACACAGATAATAGAATTAGTAGACAAGGATATTTGTAAAAAGTATCATGACTGTATTTCATGTGTTAAGAAGCTAGAAGAAAAATTCAACACATTAAATAAAGGCATAAAAGATATAATAAAGGCCCAAGTTGAATTGTTAGAGGTAAAACTATAATGTCTGAGATGAAAAATACATCAGAAGGGATCAATAGCAGATGAGACATTGCAGAAAAAGGAAGTGAACTTGAAGACATAAAGACAGAAATTGTTGAAAATGAAGCACACAGAAAAAAGATGAAAAAATGTACAGAATAATAGAATGGGGTACCTCCAAAGGGAATGGTAGGATGATCTTTCCTTTATGAAGACAGCTCTGGCAGCAGAGTAGTGAGGAGGCTGCTGCAACTATTGGGAAAAGAGGCAGTGGTGCCTAAGCTGTAGAGAGGAAGAGGATGTCAGAGCTGAGCACCTGATGGGCAACACCACACTGTGGGCTGGGCTCAAACAGGGCTGCTCCTGAGGGGCGGGCAGAAGACCCCACACGCCACTGTTCTCTTGTCCTGGTATGCACGTCCTCAGGGCAAGCTTGAAGCTCCAAAATTTCTCAGAATGAGGATTTTTCCTCAACTTCTGTAAAACCATGGTTAGTACTTTTGCAAGACAGAGAAGGAGTCCAAGATTTTTTTTTTTTGAGACAGTCTCGCTTTGTTGCCCAGGCTAGAGTGAGTGAGTGCCATGGCGTCAGCCTAGCTCACAGCAACCTCAAACTCCTGGGCTCAAGCAATCCTTCCGCCTCAGACTCCTGAGTAGCTGGAACTACAGGCATGTGCCACCATGCCCGGCTAATTTTTTGTATATATATTTTTAGTTGGTCAATTAATTTCTTTCTATTTATAGTAGAGATGGGGTCTTGCTCAGGCTGGTTTCAAACTCCTGAACTCGAGCAATCTGCCCCACCTCGGCCTCCCAGAGTGCTAGGATTATAGGCGTGAGCCACCACGCCCGCCGGAGTCCAAGATTTTGATAGCGGAACACTAGTAAGTAGATTGTAAAACAAGCCCTGAGGGAGCACAGGCAGGAGGAGGTGGGGTTCACAGCTTCGCTGTATAAAAAGAAGTCTGGGCCGGATACGGTGGCTCACGCTTATAATCCTAGCACTCTGGGAGGCCGAGGTGGGCGGATTGCTCCAGGTCAGGAGTTTGAAACCAGCCTGAGCAACAGTGAGATCCCGGTCTCTACTATAAATAGAAATAAATTAATTGGCCAACTAATATATATAGAAAAAATTAGCCGGGCATGGTGGCGTATACCCAGCTACTTGGGAGGCTGAGGCAGTAGGATTGCTTGAGCCCAGGAGTTTGAGGTTGCTGTGAGCTAGGCTGATGCCACAGCACTCACTGTAGCCTGGGCAACAAAGCAAGACTCTGTCTCAAAAAAAAAAAAAGAGGTGTGGATCCCTGACTGCAGCACTCCCCTACCAAATGAACCAAAGCATGATTCTGCCTTAGCCCAAGAATTCTAAGAATGCTTCAGGGCTTGGTCTACTACTGAGAAATAGAAGGAAACAGTTTTATTGTGTACCTACTATGTAACAAGCTACAGCACATTAACTGTACTCTGAGGAAATACTTCTGTCCCTATTTTACAAAGGAGAAAGTTAAGACTCAAAGAGTCTGAACTTGAGATTTAAGCCCAGAGCTGCCTGACTATGCCTGTGCAATATTGTGCATTCTTCAGAGTGATACTCTGGCTAGTTCTTTGAGAGTTTATTTTTAGAATCACTCTTGGACAGTTATGAACATCTTCTATTAGTTATCTATAGTGCATAACAAATTATCCCAACATTTAGCAGCTTAAAACAACAAACATTTGTTATCTTACAGATTCCATGGGAATCTGTGTGCAGTTTAGGTGCCTGTGAATCGAGGTCTCTCGAGAAGTTGCAGTCAAGGCGCTGGACAGGGCTGCAGTCCCATAAGAAGGCTCAGCAGGGATTGGAGGGAGGGTAGGATCTACTTCCCAGTTCACTCACATGGTTGTTGGCAGTCTGCAGCCCCTCACGTGGGCCTCTCTCCACAGGGCTACCTCGGGACATGACAGCTGGCTTCCCCTAGGGAGGCAATCCCAAAAGAGAGCAAGAGAAAGAAAGAGTGCATGCTCCAAACAGAAGCCACAGTCTTTTTATAACCTAATCTTGCAAGGGACATCTCACCACTTCTATTGTATTCCATTTGTGAGAAGCAAGTCAGTAAGTCCAGCCCACACTTATGGGGCAGGAGTGTGAGTGCCAGTTGCTGGGCTCCTTGGGAGCCTTCTAGAGGCTGCCCAGCTCAATCAAACAGTTTTAATAGCCAGGCTATCCTGGTTTCTCCCCAAATGCCAAGTTGTTTCCCCATTATCCAGGGGCTGGAGGATTGGGGAGCCCATGGGGACACTTGGAGCCCTGCTGTGCCCACTCCTTTGTGCCTGAGGCATAGTCACATTTGGAAAGGCCAGTGTGGTGAATGTATTTAGAGACCCTGCGGGAGGGGGGCTGTTCTCAAATTGTGGCCACTGTTCCCTCATCCCCTTGTCCTTGAAGCTGATGTGATGTTTCCTGGCAAGGAGGAGGAGCAATGGCATCCCCCACTGCACCCCATACCCTGTCAGCCAGACTGGGTTGGGGGCCAGGTAAGGAACCATCAGCACGAATGCCTTTAAACTTCCCCTTGCTTCTGATCTTCTTCCCTCAGATTTTCTTTTCTTGCTCCCCATTCCATGTCCATAACCCCAGAGGAGGTGCTCCAGGAGCGTGTTGATGGAGGTGGGAGGGAAAGACTGGAAAGACAGCAAGTGTGCATGCAGGTCAGCGCCTCCACTCAGGGCAGTTCCAATCACATTCCCTGCAGTCTGTGGCGTCTGTTCCCTGCTTGTGCAGAGCCTCCAGAGATGGATGAGATACAGATGCTTGCCCTCTGGGGGCTCAGTTTAAGAAAGGAGACAGAGGTGCAAACAGACAATGATGAAAAACGTTAGGATAAGCACCACAAATATTTGGCCAATACACCCTTTTTGCCACTCCACCACGGCTATCTTGGTTCATAAAGCATCATCTTTTGCTTCCAAGCTGGTTTTCCTCCATTTATTCACCTACTCTGCTGCTGAGAGATCTTTCTGGAATGCAAATCTGATGAGGCCACCACCCTGGTTAAAGGCCTTCCCAAATGCTCTTGGGGAAAGCCAAGCCCTTCAGTTTGTCCCCAAGGCCCTAGACACTGTCCATCCCTCCAGCTTTATCTTACCCCTTTCTGCTCACACTCCAGTCACACCACAGGCTCTGTGCCCTGGCAGGTACCTACGCAGGTGACCATGCTGTCCCCCTGCCTCCAGGAGCTAATTCATGTGGCATATCCACTAGAAACATCTCCAGATTGCCCTTCCCAGTCTGGGAAATTAGTCCCAGAGCCTCTTAAACCATTTCCCTCACATCTTCTGTGTCCTAATGAAATGGGCACGTGGTATCTAAACTCTGCCTGGTGCTTGGCACAGAGAGGGATTGGGTCAGCAAATGACTGTGGAAAAGACCTGAAGTCAACTTTGGGAGCACAGCGAGGACACCTAGACCAGGCACTTTCAATCTCCCCAAGGAAGCACGGGTATCAGAACCCCCCTCCCCGCCTCTGCTCTGCCCACGCCCTCTCCCTGCTCTCCCGCTCTGCTCCCAATGAAGGGCCCAGGATGAGCGCTGGGAGCCCTCTCTGCTCGTCGGGTGGGCTGGGAAGCTGCGTGAAGCAGGTGCGGTATGAAATTGGACTTTAAAAGATGAGTTGGAGCCTGATATCAATAATAGAGTGTGGACATGTGTGTGAGGAAGGGGGATGTTAAACCATCCTCTTTCCCCCGCTGCTATTCCCCACGTGCGTTGAGGAAAGGAAGCAAAGCGGCCGGGTGGCTGTGGGTGTCTCCGCCCCCTGAGGGGCACCCACCCTGGCGCTGCAGGCGCGCTTGAATGAATGGGAGAGGCCCCGCGCGCATGAATGAGTGCGAGAGTGAGGGAGTGCGCCGGCGAGCGGGCGGGTGACTGAATGGCGACCGTGCCGCCGCCTCGGCGTAGGGGCTCCGGCGCGGGCTCCACTTCCCTCTCCCGCCAGCTGGTGGCCTCGAGTAGGTGGCGGCGCCGGCAGCGGCCCGAGCTGGGACGGCCGGGGCGCGGGATGGTGGGGGAAGGGGCGTTCCCAGCGACCGCGCCTTCCGCGGCTATTGGATTAGTGGCCTTCAGGGATGAGCTCAGCCAGATCGGCTTTCAGCTGCAGCCTCCGGGCCGGCCGGGAAGGCGGGGAGCTGGCGGCGGCGGAGGAGGGGGAGGCGGCGGCGGCTGCAGCATCCAGAGCTGGCCGCGGCGGCCGGCGCGCCCCGCGCACAAAGGCGCCCAGCCCCTGGGGAGGGCGATGAGCGCACCGCAGCTCGGGCCCGGCCCCCAGCTGCAGCTACCGCTGCGTGCGCCCTGGGCGCTGGGGAAGACGCCGGGCTCGCCCGGGGCCGGCGGCCGAGGCGCGGCCCGTGCGCCCTGAGCGCGGGACTCGCAGCCCTCTGGGTCAGGCGCCAAGCTTCGGAGCGGCTGGAGCGCGGGCCTCGGAGCGCCCCCAGGATCGGCGCAATAAGGCGCTTCCCCACTCCCGGCCCGACCCCCCGCGTCCTCTCGCCGCGCCTGAGCGCCAACTTCGCCAAGAACGCTCCTAACTCTAGGCCATCCTGCCTGGCAGAGGGGGCGCTGCTGCTGGGCATCAGCCTTAAGGACGCACCCCTGGCCCCGGGGAGGAAGCCGGCATCTGCGGGGTCGCTCGGGCGCTCCTGAGTGGGCGGCGGCAGCAGGCGCCTCTCTGGGGAGTCCAGGACCTGCCAGCGCTGGGGATTGTTCCCGGGCCGGCGCTGGCCCTCTGGTTTATGGTGAGTACTCTCCAGCTCCCGGTGAGGGGCGCCTTGGGGCGCGCGGGGGCCGGGAGCCGAGATCTGGCCGTATGGACTTGACGCGGGCCGGCACTCGTCACAGCCCGCGCTCCTGGCGTGGGTCAGGTCCCGGGAAATTCCTTTCTGCAGCTAGTGGCAGTCTGACTGATTGATTTGCGCACAGTTCTGGGGCGTTTGGGGGCTGGCCCCGTACGTAGGATTCGAAACCCGCTGGTTTTCTGCGTAGCGGAGACAGCATGAAAAACTGCCTTCCAACTCACCTCGCTCGGGTTTGGGTCCAAGATCCTTCACGCACTGGCTGGGTGACCTTGGGCAAGGCGCCAAACCTCGGTTTCCTCATCCGTAGGATGGGAATAAATAATGGTACACGTTTTACAGGGATGCTGGGAAGATCTATGGGATGGTGCTTGTACCCAGACCTGTGCCTGGCACATGGGAAGCACTCAATCATATGTTAGCCAGTATTATTAGCTCTGTGAGCCCAAGCGTGTCGTCCAACTTTCCGGAGCTGCAGCAGCTACCTCGTTTGTGTAATGGGAGCAATAATTCCTGGAGGGTCTGTTCGTCGAAGGTATTCAGAGTGGCGGAAGTAAAGCGCCTGGCACACAGTAGGCACTGGTGAAGCGGTGGCTGTTATCACTTGTCCCTGACGCTGGGGCAATAAGGGTGGTCGCCTGGCCGAGAGCTCGGGGGCCAGTTCCCGGCCTTGCGTGGAGACAAACTTGGCGATGCTCGGGAAGGAAGCGAGTTGAGGGCTCTGGGAGTCCTGGGCGCGGGGCTCTGGGAAGGAGCGAGGAGGCCGGAGCGCGGAGCGCGGCAAATGTGTCGGCCCGGTCGCTGTACGCGCCAGCGGCTCTGAGCCCGGAGAGGACGCCGAGCCCCGACCTCGGACTGGCGGGAGAAGCCGGGGGAGTGGCTGCTCCCGCTAGGGCCGAGCGCGGGCTGCTGCGGGCATGAGGGGAGAGGAGGGCACTTTTGTACCGCAAGGAGGTGGAGAGGTCTCAGCTCTGTCTCCACCACCAGCCCACGGTGTGACCTTGGGCAAGTTCTCTAACCTCTCCCAGCTCAGTTTCCTCTTCTCTCCACCCTCCTCCTTGGGGGTGGTCGGAGGGTGAAAACAGGAGTTCTCTCCTCTTCATGACTCTGAGCCCCCATCCTCCCACCCACCTTCCGCACCCCGCTACCCCATCCCCCTGCAATTTGATGAGCCTAAATCTGGAAGACGTGAAATGTGTAAAAGCAAGATATAAACATGCTTTACCCGAGGGCATATTCCTTTGAGACACATACCCCTCTGATTGATTGCATTTTTAAAACTTCCTTTAAAAATGGTAATAAAGCCGCCACCTTCGGCAAACAACAAACAGAATCCAACTTCCAAGCCATTCTACTCAAATATTTCCAGTTTGTATTTATTTCTCTTTTCCTTTAAAGATTGATAAATTTGATGACATTAAAATAAAATCTGCAGGGAAAAGAAATCGCCAAAACAGTCAAAAGACTTAGGCAAACGGGAGAAAGAATTCCCACTCCTATCAAAACCGGCTCATCTCTTTAAATGTGTAAAAGATTACTCCAGTCAACAAGCAAAAGATCAAAGGGACAAAGACTATATAGACAGTGCACACACACAATGAAACAGAAATGATACTAAACATATGACAAGATGCCCTACCTCACTCAATAAGACAAATGCAAGTTAAAACAAGACTCTGTTTTTTCATGTATCAGATGAGAAAGTAGCTAGAGCAATTTATCAGAAGCGTCTTTTAAAAATGTAAATAGATCAAATTCCTCCCATTCCTCCCTCTCTTAGGCCCTCCTTTAAGACTGCCATGGAGTAAAATGTAGACCCCAGGGCCCTCCCTGTCTGGCTATTGCCCCTCCACTCCTCTCAGGCCAATTTCCTCTCTCATCACCCCTGGCCTTCTGTTTTGTTCCAATACTCCAAAAAGGCTTAATCACTTGCTGTCCGCTCCCTCCATTCTCCCAATACTTCCCCCCCTGGCTTTTCATAGGACTGGAACCCTCTCATCATTCTTGCTGGCCTGTCCTTGGTGGTTTTATTTCTGTCCCAGGAAGTAGCCAAGGCCTGTGCCAGTGCAGAGTTCCTTGCCCTTTCAGGAAAGACCCAGTACAGCTCACCATACAGGAGTTAACTTACTTTTTCCTGAGCCGCCTGCCCTGTTGTCACACATCCAGGCTCTTGAAAGGTCCCTTTTCTGTTGATGCAGGAATGAGGGGTCCTAGGCAGTCCCCCAGCTAGAAGCAGGCCACTAGGTATGGAAAATCAGGGGGGATGGTAGGATCTAGATTGAGGTCACAGGCAGTCTCTGCCTTGCAGTAATTTTAAAATATGTAAGTACATAGTGTGTGCACCCAACTTATGTGAACATGACCATACCTACTTGGTGAAAAATAATAAAAAATTTAAAAACCAGGAACACATTTTTAATAAAACATGGTTCCTACATAAGCCAACTGGTTTGTATGCTGCTGCTGAGCTTAAGAAATAGGGATATGTTCTGAGGCTGCAGGAAAAACAGTTGTCTCTGCTGTATAACATTCTCTTGGGAAAGAGAATGGCACAGCCCAAGCCACTTATCATGCATTTTGTGGACATTTAGAAGAACTTTCCAGGGCAGTATTGGTTGGATGTGATTTTTGCTTCACACGTTGAGTTCAGAACTTATTCCCCATTTAAAATGTATAGTTTAATTATGAAAAAATATCTGTTGTTAGAAACACAAACCATACATGAGATATGGAGTGGATATTCCTTCTTCGATCTGATGGGCTCTTCCTAGTGCAGCCGGAAGTAGCAGGCACAAGGCTGTGTGTGAGTGTTGGAGGTAGATAGAGGCTGGCTGGGCACTGGCTCTTCCAGCAAGAAACGCAGACTTGGGGCAGGAGACATCAGCAGGAATTGACAGGTAGGATGAAGATGGGGTGGGATGGAGGGAGGAGAAGGCAGTGGGATGGAGGGGTGCGCAGCTGTGCTTCTGCTAGGGGAGCTGGGGGAGTGAGGGAGTGTCAGCCAGGCAAGGGAAGGTGGAAAGGCTCCCAGGACAGGACGCTGAGCTGTGAACGGGATATCCTGACTTGAGGAGAGTCTGGCGTGCCTGGTCTGTGGTGCGCCGTAGTGAGAGACTGAGCGTGGGACAGATGAGCAAAAGCAACTCTCTAGGGTCCTGGGGTGCCAAGCTAAGGGGTGCAGCTACTCTCTGTAGAAGCTGCCTGGAGGATTGAAGAGCAGAAGGGTGGGCATCCTGGTCAGATTCAACCGTTGGCAGCATGGAGGGTGGGGTGGGGGCAAGGACTGGAGTCCAGGAGACCTGATCGAGACCGTTGCAGTAATCCAGACAGGGTCTGAGCGAAAGGAAGGCTCAAGGCATTGAGTGATGGAGACCGAGAGACGGGGATCCATGGCAGAAACAGGGACATGCAGAGAAGACCTGGTATGCAGGAGAGGCAAGGGGTGGGCTCAGCCCAGGCTGTGTGGATTCTGAGGTGTCAGTGGACAACGGATGTCCCACAGTGCTGAGAGTGTGGGTGTGTCCACAGTGGGAGGTTTATGGTGCAAAAGAGGCCTCCAGAGCTTTCCAAGGTCATTTGAAGGAGCACCCAGCCTGGGCTGGCCATGGGCTTCCAGAAGGCCCATCTGGCGCTGAGGAGAGAAGGCAGAGCTGGCGACCCAGCTTGAGAGTGTCTGCCGGGGGCTGGAGATGCAAGTCGGAAACAAGACGCATGGAGAGAGAGAGAGAAACAGAAACTGAAGCCATGACCTTGGGGGGTGCCCCACCGATGGGGCAGGCGGGTGGACCCCGGAGCCAGGAGGAGGCAGGAAAGCTCCATGTGCTGGTATGCGCTGAGGGAGAGGCCGAAGTCACCCGCCAGGCTTTTAAGGCTGTGAAATGTCATTCATTGTGAACTGGAGTTCTGCTTTCTCCAGAACTGAGTGGGACTTGGCCAAGTTGGGCAGGTCACAGAGACATCCCACTTGTAGCTGCATTCTAGGAGGTACACCAGTCACACAGATTCCTGCGGCTGGCGTGGCTCCTCCCACGCCCCGCTCCCTCTCTCCTCTCTCTCAGGATCTCCTGTTCTCCTTCCTTCATCTCCTTCTCTCTCCTTTCCTCCCTGGTATCGCAAAAGTGCTCCTCTGGGCAGGTCCTTGTTATGATCTAGATCAAGCCCGAGGCATGAATAGTCCTGCTTTTCTTTCAGGCGTCCTGTTTTCAGACAACCAGTTAGATCAAGTGGAGAAGTTTTATCTTGGGAGGTAAATGAGGGGATGAAAGTGAAGATTATTGTGTTTTCTTAGAGGTTTTCCCCAGAGGGTTCCATTAAGGGGCACCTTCCTTTCCTCTCCCTTCATGCTTTGTCCCAGCACGGACACACTGGGCTTCAAGGAGACCGGCTGTCCTGCAGAACAAGCCACATGTGCCTGGGACAGCCCTCTGGGCACAGGGGCAGCTGCGATGACCAGGCCTGCCAGGACTGCCTGTGGCCTCACTGGCTCGGAGGTGTGTCTCTTTCAAATGACCTTGCAGAGGTTGCTGGCCTGCTCGCTGCCTGCAAAGCTCCTTCATCCCATCCCCTGCTCTCCTTGCTGGCTGCCAACTGAGCTTCCACCTCAGGGGCCCCTGGCTCCGTCACACGTGGGAGGATTCCCATGGAAACCCCAGAAGGAGGAGAGGCTCGGGGAAGCCTCATTGATTCATGCTCCAGGAAGACAGGCGTGAGACGGTTCCACCTGGAACTGGACAGATGGCTCTCTTTGTGAGCTCTTGGGGAAGAAAGGGCTTGCCCCGCCAGTTGTAGCGTGAGCTCCGTGTGTTTATAGAGGGGAAAAGCTAATGGACGTCTATGAATAAAACCTTGGGGGTTCTTTAGTTCATTCACTGTTGGTGGATTCATTCTGAATGAGTTTCTTTTAATAAAACATCCCTTCTACCTAATATTTGTGCAAGAAAATC